TATCTTTACACCCCTCGTCTTCGACCCAGCTGCTCGTTCTAAGCTAAAGTCAGAAATAACAAGCAACAGCATACTAACAAATACAACACACAAACAAAAACCAACAAAAAATAACCAACGAAAAATAAATAATAAAACAGAAATAACAACAACAACAAAACAAGAAGATAACCAAAGCAAAAAGAAATAAACCAAAAATACCAAAAAGAAGCACGATAAAAAACAGAAATAAAACGAGACAGAGATCGAGAATATTATCCACCCAGCGCCTCTCCGACAGCCGCTTTTCCGTACGAAGCTAATGTACCAAATAACAAGAACTAATCAACAAAAAAAAAATAAGAAAGAAAAAACAATTAAACCACGAAACTGTAACTAATACAAAAAGTACTCTCATCATATCTTCAATCGTGCACAAATACTCTCTAAACACAACTCTACTATTAACCAAAAAAAAACCAAAAACAATCAAATCACTCTCTCTAGCACCAACAACATCTACACTTACTCTCTCTCTCTACATTCTCGTGACTCTCTATCTCTGCCTTCTCTCTTCTCTCCTTCTTTTACTCACATCATGCCTCTCTCTCGTCTTTCCTCTCTCCCTCTCTCCCCACGAATGCTCGTTCCTCTATCTCAAGATGAGTGATCGTCGTCAATCTCGGGAAATTTCTGAGAACGACTCCATACTCCGGTCATTGGCTGCCAGGTTCGTCGTCCTTAAGCCTTGCGTATCCTGGTACCCTGAGGTTACGTGAGCCCTGCTTAATGTACTGTCTCACATCATACCGGTGAGCGAAGTACTCTCTACATATCTGTGTTCTTGGGTGTGCGTGCTCTCTCTCTCTACTCTCTCTTCTCCTTCTCTTTTCCTTCCAATCTCTCTCTCTCGTCTANGGGAGGGGAGGAGTAGGGAGAGAGGAAGAGGGTGAGGAAGGGGAGGGTAAGGGTGTTGAAGGGGGTGGAGGGAGTAGAGATGTGAGGAGGGGGGAAGAGAGCAGATGGCTGAGGATGGGGGTGAGAGAAGGAGGAGGGAGGGGAAACGGAGGTGATTGTAATGAGAAGAAGGAGAATAAGAGAGGGAAAGAAAAGAGAAAGAGAGAGGAGGAGGAATGTTGAAGAAGGAAAAGCGTATGTATGAGAAGAAAAAGAGAAGAGAGAAGGGGAGAGGATAGGAGGAGGAGAAAGGGAGAGGACATGAGAGGGAGGAGAGAGAGGAGGGGGAAGGAAGGAGAATTATGAATAGGGAGGAGGAGAGGAGGAGATGGAGAGAGGGAAGGAATGAGAATGAGGGAAGGCGAAAGGAGAGGAAAAAGAGACGAAAGTTAGGAGAGGGAGGAAGGGAGAAAATAATGATTAATATAATGACAAAAATGACTAATGCAAACAAACATTCTCCCTCTTTATCAATGTCACAATCAAAAACAATAATGAATTAGCTACTATAACAACTGCTTCCACTACAACTGCAAATAACAATGATTATGATAATGATAATGATATAACAATGATAGTAGAAATGGAAAAATGATAATGTGATGATAATGATATCATAATCATGATAAATGATGATAGTAAATGATATATGACAATGTGATAAGGGATAATGATTATCAAAATAACAATGATAATGAAATTGATAATACAATTGCAATAAAGTACTGATAATGAAAACGACATTATTGATAATAATTGCAATAAAGAGTAATGATGATAATAATGGTAATAATAACGATGATTCTTATATTGATGTTAATAATGATAACAATAACGATCATAATGAGAACAACAACAATAAATATGATTAAGATGATAACAATAAAAAGTATAATGATGTTATGTATAAGGATAATATGATTTAATGGAAAAATCAACAATAATGATTGATAATGATGCTAATACAATACTACAACAATAACAGCAACAGCAACAACAACAAAAAACGACAAGAAAATAAACCAACAAAAAAAAACAGAAATAACAAGCAACAATAACAACAACAACAAACAAACAAAAAATAACAAAGACAAAAAAAGAGACAAACCAGAAATAACAAAAAGAAGCTAAAAAAAAAAAAATAAATAAATAAATTAAATTAAAATAAAGCAGAAAAAAATTCGAGACACAGATCGAGAAAATATTTCATTCCAAGTCCTCTCGATAGCTGGCACGTACGAAGCTAAGTAGAAATAACAAGCAGCAATAACAACAACAACAACAAAAAACAAACAAAAACAACAAGAAATAACCAAAGAAAAGAAAACAAAGCAGAAATAACAAGCAACATAACAACCAAAAAAAAACAAAAAACAACAAAATAACCAACGAAAAAGATCAAGTAGAAATAACAAGCAACAATAAACAACAAACAACAAAACAAGAAAAATAACCAAAGAAAAAAAGAAATAAACCAAAAATACAAAAAAAAAAATAAATAAAAATAAATCGAGACAGAAAATCGAGAAATTTCACCCGGCGCCTCTCGACACCCGCCTTACCGAAGCCATAGTAGAAATAACAAGCAAACAATAAAAAAATAAAAAAAACGATAACCAACGAAAAATAACAAAAAAAAGAGAGAAAAAAAAAAACACACAATAACCAACGAAAAAAAACAACAACACAGAAATAACAAGCAACAACCAACAACAACAATCTCGACAGCTGCCGTACCGAAGCCTCCAGCGCTCGCCCCCCCCCCCCCCCCAGAGGTCGTCCATCTCAGAAGTGATCGTCGTCGGGAATTCGAGAACGACTCCATACTCGGTATTGGCTGCAGGTGGTACTAAGCCTTGGGTATCCTGGGTACCCTGGGTACGTGACCTGCTAAGTACTGTACCATACGGACGGGAGGAAGAGGGTACAATGTTTGGGTGGAGAGGAGTGGGAGAAGGGAGACGGCAGGGAGAGGGAGAGGGAGAGGGGAGGATGAGAGGGAGATGGAGAAGAGGAGTGGGAGGGGAGAAGAGGGAGAAAGAGAGGGAGTGGGAGAAGGAGAGGGATGGAGGAGAGGAGAGGGATGAGAGAGGGAGGGAGAGAGGGGAGAGAGAGGGAGGGAGAGGAGCGATGGAGAAAGAGAGGAGAGGGAAGAGGGAGAAGGATGGAGAAAGAGAGGGAGAGGGGAGTGGAAAGGGAGAGGAGTGGGAGAGCTGTGGAGAAAGAGGAGAGAGTGGGGGTTAAGAGAAAGAGAAGGAGGACAGACGTATAGACAGATAATAGATAGAAATGGATAGATAGATAGAAAGAAAGGGGGGAGAGAGAAAGAAAGAAAGGGAAGGGAAGATAGATATAAAGAAAGAAGAGAGGGAAAAGGGGGAAAGCAAAAAAAAGAAAGAGAAAAGAAAGAGAGAGAGAGAGAGTCAGCAGAAGACAAGAGAGAGAGAGAGAGAGAGAGAGAAAGACGACGAGTGAAGAGAGAGAAATCACCCAATGTAACTATAATAATTCCTTCGTTGATAGATCTGAAAAGACATCCCCATTTATCTATTATTTATATATCTATTTACCTATTATCAATTAATTTATCTATTTTAGAGAGAGAGAGAAACGCGTCAATAAAGTCGAAATCTCTATTATTCTTTCATATATAAAAGATCGTTATTGATGATAGCAATGACTGCAATGTTAGCAATGATAACGTTCAATGATAATAAAAAATAATAATATAAATAATAGTAATGATAATAATTAATTAATAGTAATAATAATGATTAATAATTAATAAAATAATAAAATAATGATAATAATAATAATAATAATAATAATAATGATAATGATTAATAATAATAATATAATGATAATAATAATAATAATAATATGATAATATGATAATGATAATAATGATAATAATATAATAAATTAATAATAATAATAATTAATTAATGATAATATATAATAATAATAATAATATGATAATGTAAAAATGTTAATAATAATAATAATGATGATGATAATACTAATGATAATAGTGATGATAGTAATGATAACAATAACAACAACAATGATGATAATGATAACAGTAATAGTAATATAATTGTTATTAATGATTATTAATGATAATAATAATAATAAATGTGAATAATAATACTGATGAATATTGCAATAATAAAGTAATAAAAATTGATGATGATGATGATGGTAAAATTAACAATGCTAATAATAATGGTAACAGTAATAATAATAATTCATGTACTATCAATAATGATGTTCAATAAGTATAAATGGTGATGATTATTGTTATTGTTACCACTATTATCATTTATCATTATCATCATTATTATCATTGCTACAGTCATCATTCTCTTATAATATTATATTATCATTATGATCATTATCATCATCATCATCATCCTTATCATCATTATTATCATTGATATCATGATCATTATTGACAAAAACAATAATAATGCGACCCCACTTCAAACGACCTTATACCTACGACCTAAATATATTTGAAAACGCCCCTTGCACGAAGAACCAAGGGGGGAGGAGGGGGGGGTAGTAATCCCTCACGGCTTAAGAGGGTCTCGACCATCCTAGTCCACGGAGCCACTGAGCAAACCCTCAATAGCAGCGGCACTAGAACTAGCAATGTTAACTAGCACTTCCCCTGCAACCGATCTGTGAAACGGAAAGAAATCGTGGAAATCTGAATACGCTTTAGACCTTTGGTCCGAGTGACCTGGGTACAGATTGACCTTGGGTACACGTGCCCTCTGGGGGGGTGGTGGGGGGTGGGGGGGATGTGAGGGAAGGAGGGGGGGGTCGGGGAGAGAAAGGGACGTAATAAGGGCAAATAAGGGCATGAGGTTGGGGGGGGGGGAGGTGTTGTTGGTGGGGATAAGGAGAGGAGCGGGGGGTTGCGGGGGGGGGAAGGGGGGGAGGAGGGAGGGGGTTGAGGGTGTAGGGAAAGTTCGTTGGGTGAAGGCAAGTAGTGTGAGGGTAGGTTATTGGGGCATGTTGGTCTTGGGCAGTCTATTGGGTCTGGCGAGTGAGGCAGGTTATTGGGGTCTGAGGAGTGAGGGCAATGGCTGGGGAAGGTTTATTGGGGTTCTGCAGGAGTTGAGGGCAGTGGTGGGCAGGTTATTGGCGGTCTGACGCAGTGAGCGGCAGTGTGGGTAGGGTGAGGTTATTGGGGTCTGATGAGTGCAGGGCAGGTCTGGTGGGGCAGCGTTATTGGGCCGTCTGACGAGTGAAGGCAGGTAGGTGGGGGCAGGTTGATTGGGGTCTGACGAGTGAGCAGCAAGGTGCGTTGGGGCAGCGTTATTGGGGTCTGACGATGTGAAGGCATAGGGTGGTGGGGGCAGGTTATTGGGTTCTGACGAGTGAGGGCAGGCTGGTTAGGGCAGGCGTTATTTGCGCGTCTGAGGAGTGAGGGCAGGTGGGGGGGCAGGTTATTGGGGTCTGAGAGTGAGGCAGGTGGTTGGAGGCAGGTTTATTGGGCGTCTGAGGAGTGAGGGCATGTGGTGGGGCAGGTATATTGGGGTCTGACGAGATGAGGGCAGGTGGTGGGGCAGGCTTATTGAGGTCTCGAGGACGTTGAGGGCAGGTGGTGGGCGGCAGGTTATTTGGGTCTGAGGAGGAAAGGGCAGGTGGTGGGGGGCAGGTTATTGGGGTCTGAGGAGTGAGCGGCGAGGTGGTTGGGGGGACAGTTATTGGGTCTCTGGGAGTGAGGGGCATGGTGGTGGGGGCAGCTGTTATTGGGTCTTGAGGAGTTGAGGGCATGTGGTGCGGGCAGTTATTTGGCTCTGAGAGTGAGGCAGGTGGTGGGGGGCAGGTTATTGCGGCGTCTGACGAGTTATGAGGGCAGGTGGTGGGGGGGGGGGGCAAGGGGGTTTTATTGGGGGTCTGAGGAGTAGCGGCAGGTGGTGGGCGGCAAGGTTATTGGGCGTCTGAGGAGTGAGGGCAGGTGGTTGGGGCAGTATTGGGCGTCTGCAGGAGTGAGGGCAGGCTGGTGGGCGGCAGGTTATTGGTCGTGCTCTGAACGAGTTGAGGCAGGTGGGGTGGGGGGCAGGTTATTGGGGTCTGACGAAGTGAGAGGCAAGGTGGTGGGGCAGTTAGTGGGTCTGAGGAGTGAGGGCAATTGGTGCGGGGCAGGGGGTTATTGGGTCTGACGCGAAAGTGAGGGCAGGTGCGTGAGGGCTAGGTTATTGGGGTCTGAGCAGTGTGAAAGCAGGTGCGTTGGGGAAGGTTATTGGGTCTGCGAGTCGAGGGCAGGTGGTGGGGGCAGGTTTATTGCGGGTTCGGCGCATTAAAACAGCGAGTTGTGGGAAGGTTTGGGTTTCTTGCGTGAGTGAAGGGCACGTGGTTTAGGCAGCGTTATTGGGGGTCGTCTGAAGAGTGAGGAAGGTTATTGCGGGTCTGCATGAGTGAAAGCCAGGTTGATGGGGCAGGTTATTGGGGTTTGGTGCGAGTGAACGGGCAGATGGTTGGGCAGGTTATTGGGGTCTGGCGACGTGGAGGGCAGGATGCGTTTGGGCGGGCTTATTGGGGTTCTGGCGAGTGAGGGCAGGTTGTTGGGGCAGTGGTATATTGCGGGTCTGACGATGAGACAGATGGTGGACCGGGCCAGGTTATTGGCGGTCTGCACGAGTGAGCGAAAGATGGTTGGGCAAGTTATGGGCGGTCTGGCGAGTGAGACAGATGGTTGGCCGCACGGTTTATTGCGGCGGCTCTGGGCGAGTGAAGGTAATGGTGGGGCAGGTGATTGCGGGTCTGACGAGTGAGGTACAGATGGTTGGGGCAGGTTATTGGTCCTGGCGAGTGAATGTAGATGGGGCAGGTTATTGGGGTTCTGACGAGTGAGGCACAGATGGTTTGGGGCAGGTTATTTGGGCGTCTGCGCAGTGAGTAGATTGAGTGGGGGCAGCGTTATTGGGTCTGACGATGACGGACAGGTGGTGAGGGCAGGGTTATTGGGTACGATGCAGTGCAAGACAGGTGGTGGGGAAGATTTATTGGCGGTTTCTGAAAGTGAGGACAGTGGATGGGGGAAGGTTATTGGGGTCTGGGTTGAGTGAGGGCAGGTTTTGATGGGGTATGGTTATTGGTCTTGGTGTAGTGAGGGGCAGGATGGGTATGGTTATTGGCGGTCTGAGTGAGTGAGGCGCGCGTAGTGAGGCAGGTTTATTGGCGGTCTGTGTGAGTGACGGCAGATGGTTGCGGGGATTGTTAAATTGGGGTCTGATTGAGTGGAGCGGCAGGTGCAGCTGGGGCAGGTTATTTGGGGATCCTGAGGAGTTGAAGGCAGCACTGTGTGCGTGGGCCAGGTTATTGGCGGTCTGTGCGAGTGAAGGCAGATATTGGGGGCAGGTTATTGGGGTCTGGCGCTAAGTGAGGCCAGGTTGGTTGGGGCGGTTAAATTAGGTCTGACGAGTGAGGGGCAGGTGCCGTTGGGGCAGGTTATTGGGTCTATGATAGTGAGAGGATATGTGGGGCAGGGTTATTGGGGTCTGACGAGTGAGAGCAGATGTGTGGCGCAGCGGTTATCTGGGGTCTTGGCGATGTGAAGCAGGTGGTCGGGAAGAGTTATGGCGTCTGGCGAGTGAGGCAGGTGGTGGGGCAGGTTATTGGGGTCAGTCGAGTGGCGGCAGGTGGTAGGGCAGGTTATTGGCGGTCTGAGGAGTGGCAAAGCGCAAATGCGTGGGGACAGTTATTGCGGTGTCTGGACGAGTGATGGCAGTGCGTTGGGAAGGTTATTGGGGATCTGGCGAGTGGGCGGAGGTGGTAGGGGCAGTTATTGGGGCCCTGGCGAGTGGCACGGCAGGTGAGGGCAGGTTATGGGGGTCTAAAGATCGTGAGAGGAGATTGTGGGCAGCAGGTTATTGGGTCTGGCGAGTGAGGCAGGTGGTTCTGGGGCAGAAGGTTATTGGGTCTGATGAGCTGAGAGGATATTGTGGGGGCAGGTTATGGTCTGACGAGTTGAGAGCAGATGGTGTGGCAGTTATTCGGGGTCTGCGAGTGAGGGGCAGACGTGCGTTGGGAAGTTATTGGGGTTCTGGCGAGTGATGGCAAGGTGGTGGCGGGCAGGTTATTGGGTCTGACGGAGGATGCAGGTGGCTGGGAGGCAAGTTATCTGGGGTCTGGCGTAGGTGAGGGCAGTTGGTGGGAAGGTTATTGGGTCTGACGAGTGAGGGCAGGTGGGGGGCAGGTTATTGGGGTCTGATGAGTGAGACAAGGTGGTTGCAGGTTATTGGGTCTGGCGAGTGAAGGCAGATGATGGGCTGTTATTGGGGTCTGATGAGTGAAGGAGATGGTGGGGCAGTTATTGGGGTCTGGCGAGTGAAAGCAGATGTTGGGGCAGGTTTATGGGGTCTGACGAGTGAGGGCAGTGGTTGGGGCTGGTTATTGTGGTGTCTGATGAGTGAAGGGCAGATGGTGGGCAGGTTATTGGGGTTATGGCGAGTGAGGGCAGGTGGTGGGGGCAGGTTATTGGGGTCTGAGGAGTGAAAGCAGATGTTGGGGCAGGTTATGGGGTCTGGTGAGTGAGGGCAGGTGGTGGGGGCTGGTTATTGGGTCCTGAGAGTGAAGGCAGATGGTTGGGGCAGGTTATTGGGTCTGGCGAGGTGCAGGGTAGGTGGTTGGGCAGGTTATTGGGGTCTGACGAGTGAGGGCAGGTGGTGGGGCAGGTTATTGGGGTCTGGCGAGTGAGGGAAGGTATTTGGGGCAGGTTATTGGGGTCTGATGAGTGAAGGCAGGTGGTTGGGGCAGGTTATTGGGGTCTGGTTATTGGGGTCTGGCGAGTGAAAGGCAGGTGGTTGGGGAAGGTTATTGGGGTCTGGCGAGTGAAGGCAGGTGTGGGGAAGGTTATTGGGGTCTGACGAGTGAAGCAGGTGGTGGGGGCAGGTTATTGGGTCTGACGAGTGAGGCAGGGTGGTTGGGGCAGGTTATTGGGGTCTCTGACGACGTGAGGGAAGGTGTGGGGGGCAGGTTACTGGGGTCTGGCGATTGAGGGAAAGTATTTGGGGAAGGGT